TTCTGCTTCCAACGTCGACGATCAAAAAGTAAAACAAAAATTACAATTCAAATGAACATATTTTGACACTAAAATTTGTCAATTACAAATTAATATCTCAACATTTGATAACTTTTTATGTAAACATTTTTTAGAAATAATACATTTTTCTTTTTCATAAATAGACTAGTATAAAGTTTCAAATGTTTCGATAAGTAAAAATTGTATTACTAAGGATCGTCTTTTTGATAATTGTCGAGTGCATAGTGAGCAGAGAGCACATATGTTTATGAAATGTTTTAAGAGTTCTCGTATAGTGACACCGCCATCTCAGTAGTGATATTTGCACGAAGTATTTTAACTTATTTGTCTAATCAAAATGATTTCTATCCATGCGATGTTGTAGATAAATTGAAACATTAGTCTCGTTCACTAAATCAAAGAGATTGAAACACTTAGATCTTACAAATAGGTTAGATATTTTGCTGTAAGAATCATTTTTTTCTCAATAAAAAATAAAAAGTAAAATAAATAACAATTAAAAGTGCTTTTAGTCTCTCTTCAAGTAATGTCAAACACGGACCAACCGATCCAATCTGAATGTGGGATCACAAAATGACGTGGCAACGTTATCTCTATAAAAAGTAAAGACCATCTGGCAACAATCACGCATCAGATCGTGCCACGAAGATTAGACCCAACAAGTGTGTCCCTTTGTTTATGATAACACTGTGCTATTTTGGGTTTTGTCCCTTTGTCTATGATTTTCGAGCTTATACTACTATATAGCCATGCTTTGATGCCTCGATGCTTTGGTTGTTCAGAATGAACATCATTGATTTTTTTAGTAAGAAACAAAAATAAATAAATAAATAAAAAAATTCTACACCTTTAAAAGTCGTTAGAAGAAAAAGGAAAAGTTTATAGTGAAAATTACTTTTCAATAAAAATTTCCTTTACAAAAACATTCAAAAATAAATAAATAAATAAAATTAAAATATTTATTAAGAAAGTTTTATGAACTTGCTATAATGCCCTTTCTATGATGGTGGTAAGTTTCATACTATTCAAATTAAGGACAATGTTTAATTATTCACTGATAAGTAGGGTGAAGTTATTTACCCTTATGTGGTCTAATAACAAAATAGCACATTACCTTTAATAATAAAATAATTCACACATTTTTAGGTTTTCTCGGATCAACCATTGAATAGTTTTTAGATGTAAATTATTTTATTATTAAATGTGATGTGTTATTTTATTATTGGACCACATAAAGGTGGCTAAGTATTATTCTCAAACTAATATCACATAATTTTCTTGAGAAATTTTAATGGTAATCAAATATATAATAAAAAATTATGATGCAAAATGGCAATTTTGAAAAACATTGATTTGTATAAACATGGTTGATCCTCATACAAGTTGTTAAATAGGATCGTTTTTTTGAAAATGTCTCCATTAATCAATTGAACATGTATACCACCACTAGCTATGTCCAATTTTCAAAATTTATGATAAGTTTTGAGAGAAATTTACCGACTTTGCATAAGCAAAATTAGTGTTCGAATCACTTGTGAATCATGATTGATCATGGCAAGTTCACTTTGTTTTTATGCATATTGTGATCAATAGGAGAATTCATGGCATCATGATATTTGCATTTTAACATATAAGAGATAAAATGCTTTGTTTTTTGTTTATTTATTTTATACAAATTTTAAATTTAAGAAAAGACATCCTACATTTTATCGCTGATACTTCTTCTCTTAAATACTCGGACACTTGCCAGGTATATAGATATAACTCGGACACATGTCAACTACGACTAAAAATATCCTGAATTGTGAATATTTTATTATATTAAAATTTTTTGCCTGCATAACATGAAAAAGCTATTCTAAAATAAGAATTTGGCCGACACCACCAATACAAGGTACAAACAGAGCATAAGAGAGTACATGATATCACTTCACTGCGCGCGTCACACACTAATGCTAAAATATTAACTCTTCTTTTAACGCTTAGTACGTCCATCATCTAATCCAATGAAGTAGGACAAAAGTTTTGAATTTGCCAGAACGTGCCACTTACGTACTAGTTGATCATTCATATTGATGTTACAGATATGCATATTATATATATATATATATACACACACACACACACTTAATTTTGTGAGAAGAGAGGTATGTTCATCCTTCATGTGGGATTGATCTGTTTTGGTGCAACTAGCACATTGGATAAGAATGGGGCTTAAACTTGAAAGTTGAAACATATCCTTACAATATATGAAAATCATGGATGGATCATATTGTTACGTTGCACGTATTTAAATGACCATGTTATAAAAATATATATTAAAATACACTAAATTAAATATATTTATCTATTCCAAAGTGACAATTTTATAATAATAAAAATAAAATAAAAAAGTCACGATAAAAAGATAAAAAGAAAGAGCATGTAAAATTTTGACTAAAGCATGAACTTTGATACAAAATTTCAAACGCCTCATTATAACTATACAATAATAGGAGAAACTTTACCATCCTTACAATATATGTCTGTATCTATATGTATATCTATATATATCTTCTTCATATATATATTGGCGCTAACTAGGAAGTATCTGCATCTCTTTGAGCATGTTTCCAATCTTCCAAATACATGGGACAATTCCCATCCCACATGCACCAGTGGAGAAACTTTACTATCCTTACAATATATGTCTGTATATATATATATATATATATATATATTGGCGCTAACTAGGAAAAATCTGCATCTCTTTTAGCATGTTGCCAATCTTCCAAATACATGGGACAATTCCCTTCCCACATGCAGCGGTACTAAGGTATTGCTGAATTGTTGATGCTATATAGCATTAGTGTGAAATATATTACTAATAGTACTTGATTGTGGTAAGAGCATATTAAGGCTCCGTTTGTTTGTTTATTTGTTTGTTTGTTTGGACCGTAAAAAAAATTTTATTTTTTTTTATTTTGTGTTGTTTAGTTATCTTAAAATATTTATGAAGAAAAAAAATATATTAAAATCTAACAAAAATAATTTACTAATAAATTTTCGACAAATTATTTCACATGCCTCACCAAATGGACTCGACTTCAATTTTAACCTAAACCTTTACCTAACAATAAAAAATAAAATTAAAAATATATATATTTTATCTGAAAAAGAAAAACATCAAAATAAACTGAGCTAACTACCTCAAGAATTAGAATTTGAAAGAGAAGATATAAAATTGATATTCAGGCCTATGGATTAAGTGTATTTATAAAAAATGAAACTTAGTTATGTTTATTTGTAAATCATTGACAACTTGAAGTGGGCATAATAGAAAAAGGAACTTAAGTTGGGGCTATAGAGGGATGACACCAGTAATAGTTTTAATTAGTAGATATAAGTTAATTAATAGTCACACTACTCTCATTGACAGCAATTCCAAACAACTTGCAAGACAAAGTCACCAGATGAATCTAGCTACATATATAAAAAAATGTGGTAATACACAGTGTATATATTATATGCATGTAATTAAAGTCATATATAACGAGATATAAAAGGGAATCATCCAAAAGTTATATCAATCCCAAATGAATTTTTTTGATTTCAATGTTCAAGCTTTTTGAGTTAGAGAGACAATTTTTTTATCCGTATTTTAATCTGAATTTTTTAGATTTTACGTATTGTGATACCATGTTAAACACTGTACTCTAAAAATTTAAATTATTAAAAAATATATAATTTTAATATTTAAACCTTCTAACTTTATATCCCCATTATTCAAGTTGGGATAATAAAGCCACCTACTAGCAAAAAGGATGACATAATTTAAAATATTAATTACATAAAACATGTTTAACGCGTCCTACGTGTATATCACAAGTTATATATATATATATATATATATATATATAATTTAATTCAAAGAAGGATTCATTTCAGTGGAATGAAGTAATCCTCCAAATACTATAGAATTCAGTAGCTCTAAAAAATAAAAAAATAAAAATAAAAATAAAAAATGACAGGAGACAGATTCAGACACAATCATAATACATAGCACCACAACCTTTGCATAGTGAAATCCAAAAAGGAGACGTACAGGACTTTCATGCAATACTAAGAACAACGAACTTGTTCCTAGTAAATCACAAAAATGTAATAATCAAATTGCCACGTACCTTTTGTGGGTAGGATTTGAATTTTTTTTCATTTTATATCTCCTAAATTCAAACACTACGTGTAGAGTGATTCCAACCAAGTGTTGGGCTTTGATTGGGCTCAATATCGTCAATTGCATTATTGAACCTGTATCACCTAAAATGGAATTATTCTTATCCTGAAAAAACTTTTGTGCTTCCATCACTTCACAAACTTGTATCATCTCCATCATATTTTTACACAGAGTACGTACCAATCATTTCCCCCTGTTTTTCTGTAAATGTTTCCTTCTCGTGATCAATCATCTTCCCCTGTTTTTCTGTAAATATTTCCTTCTCGTGATTATGAAATGCCGACAGTTGGCCAATGCAATACAAAACTTTCAACGACTGGAGAAAAAAAATTTAAACCTGTATCACCGAAAATGCTAATATCGTCAATTGCATTATTGAACCTGTATCACCGAAAATGGTGTTATTCTTATCCTGGAAAAACTTTTTGTGCTTCCATCACTTCACAAACTTGTATCATCTTCATCATATTTTTACACACAGTACGTATCAATCATTTCCCCCTGTTTTTCTGTAAACATTTCCTTCTCGTGATCAATCATTTTCCCCTGTTTTTCTGTAAACATTTCCTTCTCGTGATTATGAAATGCCGACAGCTGGCCAATGCAATACAAAATTTTCAACGACTGGAGAATTTTTTTTTAAATATAGTCCATCTCTATCCCAATTCAAGTGTAAAAACTATGAACATAAAATTCCTCCAAAGTAAAAAAACAAGCAAAGGGGAAGAGGCCCTTATGAAATAGAAGTCCAACACACTGTTCAGGGATTCAAATTTGTTCCAATATAAGAATTTCATATACCACATTCAGCAGGGTTTCAAAAGAAAACTTCATCTTCTTCTAAAAGAGAAGTAATATTAAACTGGATTAACGACTAGCTGACTAAAGTTAACATGATGGATATGCCATGTATAATCAATATACTGTTATGTATAACCACTATACATAAAGATGCCTTCTGTTACAGAGGCTAAGAACTTTTGTTCCCCACCGCGAGTCGGGATATTATTATCTTGTTGCAATGATTTCAACAACTTACATCAATCCAGTATGTTCAGTGCATGACGGCTGAATGTAGAACTTCCATCTTCGTTCATGATTTGTGAAAAGCATAAAAGGGTAACACACTCTTGAACTCTATGGAAATGAAATGATCTGGGTTCGCTGGCAGACCCGTCATGTCTGTGTTTGTGAACCATTATCTACCTAGTTGAATCTGAGAATAATCTGAGAATAAGCCCAAGAATGTCGAGATATATCTACCAGTCAGTTCTCCTAATTATAAATGGTTTTCCATTGAAAATCCAAGGATGGGTGAAATCTTGCACTTCTCCACTCATTATCAAGCATGAGATGCCACCAATTTCTGAAATCCATGGAAAGGCAAATAATGCTATGAGTTATCACGGGCAGTGGGGAAGTTAATTCCATCTTTTAGATGGCTAACTGCTGTGGGACAGAGCCATTTCAGCATGCTTGGACCTAATATCTGATCAAAATGAAGATTAGTAAGTTACGTAAGATAATAATTGTAAAAAAAAAAAGATCAGTGCACAGAGAGAGAGAGAGAGAGACCAAGGCAATATTTCTGTAAGCACCAACATCGAAAGGATGGCGGTAGATCTGTCCGGATTTCCTAGCTAGCCATGCTGCCCGTTTCCCTTCATAATACTGTTAAAAGGGCCCTTAGATTTATCAATCAGAGAAAATCCATCCATTATACCATTGTGCATTGTTGAAACTCAAAGCATACCTCTATGGTTGTCATGTTATGCATGATGAGGTAGATATGCCAGCTTAAGAGAGTTCCCAATGTCAAGCTTAAGCTTACAATCATCGCCAAGCAGCTAATCTGAAATACATATTGCTCTTGTAAATTTCTAAACCATTTGATTATCCAACACAATTCAAAATTAACAAAATAATCAAACACCATCAGAAGCAGAAAAACACACTACAAGAGAAGGGGTCTGGTCATCACATATCATTCCACTAACAGTTTACTATTTGCAACAATATTAGAAGTGTGTCACTGGTATTATTATATTGAACTATTAGTTTACTATTTTCACAATGCACCTGTATTGATACATAGACAATAAGTAGACTAATACACCCCAAAAAAAAAAAAAAAAAAAAAAAATCGGACACGGTGTGTCGGTGTTTACATTTTCTCCTAAACAGGCTAATCTGCTTTTCATTATTATAGCATTAATTTTTAGATTGATGGGTTTGAGTGTTCCCGATTATGATCAGAATTTTGTTTTCCCAGGGTTTGTTTTAGTTTTGAATAGAAACTATTAGCAACAAAAAGATTTTATAGCTGGATATTTAGAATTATCGTACAAATATCATCTGTTTGTAAAAATGAGACAATTTGGTTTGTATCAAACCCTAGGTATTTTATTGATAAATAAGAGCAAGAACCAAAATAATCAAAGATACTGAGAAAAAATATATGTTAAATAGAAGAAGTTTGATGAAAGGATTCCAAAACATTCATTGCAATAGTGTAGAATGACGTCCTTTGGATTAAATATCCTTCAAGCAGAAAACAAAATGGCAGCAGTTAATTGAAGATCCCTAATAGTGGTGACAGTCATAGTCAATTGAGTTCCAAACAATTATCTTTCACATATATTGTTACTCCAAACCATCCAATGTAAAGACGGTTTTCAGTGCTGATTATCCAGTTACAGAAGCGACCCCATAGGCTTTTGCTTCACGTCTCTTTTAAATTGCAGTCATGGTAAAATATTGGTTTATTTAATCATTAGGGACTCCCAAGCACACGAATTTTCTATAAATAGAAATAGAAAATAACATATTTACTATAACCTGCATGACATCGTCTGTGTTAATAGGAAAAACGTCCGGTTTATATTTTAATATTTCATAGTAACAATTAGTGGAGAATAAAAATGCGAGTTTGTACAAACACTTCTAAGGAGCCATGACTGTCTGGAAATGAATGCTGACACTTTTTCGGCGACGCATCTTGGATATGTCATTGGTCTAAAAGTAGAATTCTTAATTTCAGCCACGTAGTTAGTGCTTCTTGAACATGCAATAACATGTGATTGATGAACCTTGATTATTGTATAAGACTTTCTTTTAACATGATGACAAAGTATATTTTAAACAAAAATCAGAATAAATGCTTATATTAGACTAATATATGGTTTGACCATATCTAAAAAACAAAAGTCTTGGGAGGATTTTGACTCTTGACAACCTGAGGGGGAGAAGACACATTATTGTCAATTGGTGATACATGTGTAAGAGGGATGCAGAGTCAGGTGATCATCTCGTGTTGCATTGCCCTGTGGCTTGGGACAGTTGGGACTTGCTCTTGGCTTTATTCGGAGTCCAATGGGTTATGCCCCGGTCTACATTAGGCATGATTGAGGCTTGGAGGGGATGTATAGTGGGTCCCCAAGCCCGAGCTTTTTGGAGAGTGGCGCCCTTGTCTGTTTCGTGGTGCTTGTGGAGGGAACTGAATAGGAGATCCTTCGATGGGGAGGAGTCTCCTATAGGGGGTGTTGAAATTCTCTATTTTGCTCTTTTTTTGTTGTTGGGTTTCTGGGAGAAATTGTAGATCCATGAGAGAGTTTATTTTTTTTGACATATTGAGAGGTTAAGGGCCCTATTTTGTCCTTGTTTTGTGGGCTGCGCTCCCCTTTTGTAGATATATGTCATTCGGTGTGGTGTGTCTTTCGCCATGCGGCATGGGTTATTCTAATTATATTACCAATAAAATATTTATTTGTCATACATATTATAAATTTTATATAAAAATGCATATTGCATTTTCGTGTCCCTAAGTGTTTGTGGCTTGCTTTTTTAAAAAATTGACATGTCAACATATCTTTGTTGTATCCATGTCCCATGTCTATATCCATGCTTCTTGGGCGACTATTTGCGATGATGTATCGGAAAGTTAATCAGTATGATGATTTTGCAACAAACCATGTATGTCATCGCAGATAGTGAGAATTTCAGCGACAGCAAAGCTTCTAAAAAGGCATATTGTACTGTACTTACGGGCGTGTGTTAAGGATAGATCTCCTTCACCTATCACGTGACTTCATGATGTAAAAGATTCAGGACATTTGCAAACTATTACAATCAGCTAACAAACTCCCGAAACACTAAACTGAAGAACACAACTTATAAGAAACAGCTCAACTAAAAGAGGAGATGGTAATAAAAATGCAACTGCCTAAACCTACTATGAAGTGACATACATCCACAATGGGATTTAATGTGAATAATCCCTGTGTGGCATCAATCTCCAAACTGTGATCTCAGAAAAATAAATATCTGAGATCACTCCAAATACTTAAAAATTAATCAGATTTCCAGATCATCACAAAGTTGCATTGAAATAAAGACATGAAACAACATTTCTGAATCCAAGCAAAATTTTATCCCAAATTTTGGTTCGTGACTCTGTCAAAGTATTTTGAAAGAGAAATGCAGGAAATTTAGTTGAACCAAATTAGAAATGGCAACTAGGTGGCGGTAGCCAGTGAGAGATGGGGACCCCTTTTCAACCCCACGTCAAGAATGGAAAGATGAAAAAAAATGTCCAAACCTCTTTCAAACCAGAATAGGGATGGGGTGCAGTACAACCCATGACAAATCAGTTGATTTTTTTATATAAAAAATCTAAGTACGGACACAAATAAAAGATACAAACACGACATAGACAATCCAATACAAACCATCTCAAAAAGGTACGACAAGAATATGATGAGGAGACATGGATGTGACGAGGAGAGGGCACTACATCTATATAACTTTTATACTTATATATAAAAAATAAAAAAAAAATTAATAATAAAAAAAACTATGACTAGCATTACTTCTTGACAACTGAACACAATATACAAGAAATCTATAACTTGTGAATTATGCAATCATAATCATTCTTATCATATAAAGGAAGTTATTATAAGAACACGTGAATATGCTTGTATTTGTGTAGATATTTATGTTTATTGATCCCTTTTCTTCTTCCATACCCACTCCTTTAATAAACTATTTCTACAAATTTTGTCTATTTTATGTAGTCAAACTTCTTATAAATTTGATACAAGCCTCTAATATAATATTTCCTAATTTTACTTACCCAATGTCCAATGTTTCTTAGTAAAGTGTTAGTGAATGTCAATAAATTTTCGGCAAATAAAAAATTTTATTTTAAATTATGACACTAGAAAATGTATTTAAAATATGTCTTGTACTATTTGCGAAGCATTGGTATCCAATAAGTGTGAGACAAAAAAACAGCTCCTACTTAGAAGTCTCTGAGGTTCTTAGCATAAAATAATGATGTGACGAACTGGAAGTGGTATAGCATGTATACCATATTCCAGATAACATCACATCAACAATATTTTAACTGTAGTCAAAGTCACATGGCTTTTGAACATCAAAAAATTGTGCTTTCATGAGATATTACTTCTACAATGTAATATCATGTATTTTATAGGGGTTTTTGAAGCAATACAATAGTAATAATACCGGGGCGCAGTGTGGCAGATGGATAAGTTCTTAATAAAGTGGCCCTTTTTGTTTGGAACTTTGGACTGCCGTTTGGGGCAAGATCTTGACACTTGATGACCTGAGAAGTGCAGTTCTGCCTTTTTATGGTTTGTTTTTTCTTCAAGAAGTCTATATAGGGGTTTATTAGAGGAGACATGTTATTGTCAATTGATGTTGCGTGAGTAAGAGGGATGGAGAGTCTGTGGATCACCTCCTCTTGCATTGCCCCGTGGCGATTGATGGAGTCTTATTTTTGGCTTGTTTGGCGTCCAATGGGTTATGCCTCGGTCTTCAAGGGGATTGATTGACACTTGGAGAGGTAGTTTTGTGGGAACCCACGCCCGTGATTTTTGGAGGGTGGCACCCTTTTGCATTTGGTGGTGCGTTTGGAAGGAGCGGAATAGAAGATCTTTTGAGGGGGAGGAATCTTCCGTTGGGGCTTTTGAAATTTCTGATTATTAGTTCTCTTTTTTGTTGGGTGATGGGGAAAAATTGTAAATCTATAGAGGAGATTGTTGATTTTTTTTGGGTCAATAGGACCTTCTTTGGCTTTTGCATTTGTGTAGCTTTCGGGATGTGTTCCCCTTTTGAACACTTTCTAATACATTTTTACTCTTTCTCCGTGCCCGCCCTTGCTTCAACTTAAGGCTTCCCATACCCATCTCACAAGGGCCAGATAGGGTACTTATTTAAATTTTATGTTAAACTATTCCATATTTTATTTTAAAGATCAAACTATTTAAACAGGGTGATACTACTTGATTTCAGTCCCAAATTTTGTTCTTCATGGATACATGGTAACCCAAATAATTGATAAATAAAAAATTTGTCGCTTTTGTGAATTGCAATCTAAGGATTCACCTTAGTAAAATCACACCAAGCCACTACACTAGAAATTCAACAAGAGTTGTAACTGTTAGCTTTTTCAACTCACATAAAAGATCTTGAGGGGAGCCCTTCCGCTGGTGTCCGTCTGGAGTGCACAGCAGCTTACAACTATAACCTAAGCATATCAAAAGCCTGTAAATTTGACTCCACTTAGTAACATAAAACAAAATTAAAAGAGATTACTATATTGAACATACCGAAGAATAAATGCTCGCCATAGTTGCATATAAGACAAGGACAACAAAGGCCTTATAGTTTCTATGACCAACACAATTGTTTATCCACAGACAGTGATGGTCCTGCATGCAATTTCTCATGTGAGGTGAGACTGCTAATTAAAAGTTCTAATTGTGTTGACAACAAGAAATCATTTATCCATTTGTTTTAGCAAAAAGAATGAAAGAACACCTACCATCCTCAAAACACACCTTCTGCAGACACGACAATGATGAGCCCTGGGAGGCTTGTATGCAGAACATTTATCACAATGCCTCAGATGCACACCCTGTAAAACATGCATCCAGAAATAGAAATTTATATTATAATTCTAATGCTAAAATTTGACAGATAAGTAGCTTAATTTAAAACATCTCTACTCCACAAACTGTTATTCTTCAATATGTATTACCAGCAATCCAGTAAAAAGTATGTTGCAGGTGGGTGAAACAGAGAGATGGAGAAGGGAATATTCATGAGAAATTTCATGTGCTCTGCAGTTATTTACTATATTACTTACTGACTCTTACTCATTGTGATCCATGAAAATAAAAGATGTAGTAGTTAGAGATATACATTACCCGTCTTTTTCCCCTTTTGGAACAAAAAAAAAAGGAAATAAGTGTAATATCTCCATATAGGAATGTGTTAAGGATTACTGTTAGGGGGCTCTCGTCCCACATCGGATCCAGATGGGAGGATCTTGGGCTTTATATGGGTGGGTATGCAGCACTACCCAACAATTTAAACTTCTGGGTCAGATGGCAAGCGCCCGACCAATTACAACTACCATGGTTGGGTCATGTGTACCCTTCCCCATGTTACTTGAATGTTATTAGAATAACTGATTTTCTAGACAACCAACGTGATAATCCAGCAAATATCTCAAAAATAAAATTAAATAAATAAAAAGAAGTGATCAATGAAAAATTGTCAACTTCCCCTACTTACCATAACCGAAAATTAGAAGAGGGAGAGAGAAAGATCCTACCTTGCTTACAACTGGATGGCTGATATATCCATTACCACATTTTTCATGTAAATGGAATACAAAGTTAAACTGCATTCCATCCAAATCGTATCTTTATATAGTTCATCTATGTTGCCATGAATTCAGATATGAGCAAATAATGGTAAAATGCAATGGCGACCTTGTTAGGATTTATTGTTGTTTTTGAAACCTCTAATTTAGAGAAGGGCAACTTTAGCCACTCCAACCCATTTGCAGTACCCAAATTAAGAGTAATGTTTATTGAATTTTTTGAGACCATATAAAACAAATAATAACCTATTCATAAAATTTACGTCGCTGATTTAAAAGACTAACTAATAACAATTTTATTAAAATAATAAATAAAAATAGATACCATAAAATAAATAAAATAGGCTTCACAAGCACAAAACTGTATTTTAACATGATAAGTTGAATTTTGTGGGCTTCATGCCTAAATAACATGATAGGTTGAGTTTTGTGAGCTCAATGTCTAAACAACAATGAAGTGAATTACAAAATAAGCACAACACTTGATCCACTCGGTTTGGCTTTTTTGTTTCTCCATTTCCATATTGGGCTTTTGTTACTAAATTTTGTAGAATTGGAGGATGGCTTAACCATTCCTGAAGTGAACTCTAGTCACTCTCGCTCCAGGCATTCTGGTCCCCTTCTCTTCGATTCGAGACCCATCTTTAACATTGGGGCCAAAAAAAAAGTTGGAGGAGACAAAAGAGTAGTTGGATGTCAAATCACTCTTACTTTTTGTTCAGTAATCTATATTCAATACCACATCTACAGCTAGCTTACTCTCTTCTCTATTTGTATCTTCTCAGTAATTTTCTTTCTCTTCTTTATCTTAGCAACAACTTGTAATGATTTTACAAAAGATTCAAGAGACTCGAGACCCATTTTGTATGAAGAATTGGAGAAGATGAGATTGCCGAATAAGATGACCAAAGAAAGACAAATTCACATGCAACAACTAACTTGGGTAATTCTTTTTATTTCTTTCTAATCTAACTCAGATTTCACAGCTGAACCAGCTGACTCTCGGAGAGAACCGACCGGTTCAAGCCCGTAATGGTTGCTACTGTCAGATTATTTGCCAGTTCCATGAGAACCGGCCGATTCTAATGTGAGTACCAGGACTCACCGGTATATCGGTGAGTCTCGGTAATGGTCGTCCAATTTTCCGTGGCAAACCGGCCAGTTAGCCAAACCATGGGCACAACACAAAGATGTAACCCTTGCAAAAAAGATTCTCACCAAATCTTAGCTATATACAAAAGCTTATAACCTTCTGAGTGGAATGGCCGTGACTTCTGGTGATGTGCTTCAATTATTGCATATGATCTCTGAATGAGATTTTAGGGAATGTTGAAGCTCGGAGCCTCCACATAATAAAGCCAAGTCTTTAATGAGTAGAACCCAAGTTGTTCACCATTCTCTCTATTTCAACTCTCTCAGCAGAAAAAAGATTTGAAACCCCAGTACCCCACATTTTCAAATTATCTTTTACATTAGGTAAACAGAGCTAACTATTTTTGCAATTTTTTTTTTTTTTGGTTCTTATAATGATTTTTATACTGTAGGCCTTTGTTTATCAGCCCTGCAGTTCTCTACAGATGGTGGGCAGCATTACTCCATCGGCAATTTATTCTTCTTAGTATATAAATGGAAGAAATAATATGAGGAAAAATTATTTCTTGGATCATTTATGTGGATGAACAAAGGAAAACAATTATATTAAAAATGGAGATATTCATGATACCAATTCAATCTTACTTGTTTAATATTAAACTGTTTCATGATACAACACAAGAACCAAGTAAAATTCTGTAAATTTTAGACACACAAGAAATTGTTGAACAAATGGATTGTTTTCTTGACAATGAAAGCATCCAACTATCCTTATTTTTCCAAGTCAAAAACTCTTGACTGTAGAAGATATTTTGAAAAAAAAAAATCCTAGCACTTAGATGGAGGGAGATTATCAATGGGTTTTTTTCATTAATGCGAACACATTTACCCAAATAAGCATGTAAAATCATTGCATTCAAAAACTAGAAGTAATAGATCAAATAAAGCAAAACTAACCATGATGCTTATACCCAATGATCGTTTTTTTTTTTTTTTTTCATAGTTGGTACTCACACACGCATGCATCCACTGAGGCTTGATCCCTTGACCTCCCTTTGGGAAGTAAGGGCTTGATACCGCTAAGCCACCGACCCGTTGGTCAATGATCTTTTATTAGGGTAGTCTTTAGAAACATATATATAGACTAGTGGGCTTCATACAAGTTTAGGCCTAAGACAAAAACTCCAAAGGAGGTCCTTTTGATTGCTAACCCTAATTTTTTCCCCTCAGAGATTTCTCATTTTTTTTTCTTTTTATTTTCTTCTTAAATATTTTTTTTCTTAAATTTATTTTATCATGTGTTAATATGGACAGATATAAAAGAATTGGAGAGAACACATTATATAATATAAAAAAACCTACAGTTGGTCCACTCTAGAGAAATCTAAAGAACCCCTTTTTACATGGAGACTGAGGCAATGGCCTCAATTGTCAAGCCAGATCAAACAGACATACACAGAGACATAAACTTTACATCCCTCAATAGCTTTTTATAGGTTTTACATTTTAACAAAATCAATACCGAATCAAATACCTTAAGGCTATGTTCGGAAGCACTGAATCAGCTTAGATTTGGAATTTGAGAAAATTTAGTTACAACTCTGAACTAAATTTCCTCCTATTCCAAATCCAAGGCACCCATTCAGTGCTCCCAAATGCAACGTAATTGTGCTTGCCATGTACACCAAATATGAAATCGATCGAATATAATCAAGCATGGAGTCCATAAACCCACATTTCTCTCAACTAAAACTTTTAGTTTGATTTCTCATCTGTGAACCTCTAATTGATTTTTGATATGCTGGAGAACTACATTAAATACAATGGAGATTCAACAACAAAAAAAGAAAAAAAAAGAAGAAGAAGGAATTCTATAAACAGTTATTGAATAATTTTAAAACAGGGGCGATTCAATTTATGTGTACCAAAAATCATTTTGCATTTGATTTCGAACCCACATGAAAAAAATAATGATAAGAAAAACAACTAAAGAAAAAACTTTTCTTTAAAAATGATTGGGTCATATCAGAAACCAATCTTCAAAACAATAAATGAACAAATTGTGAACTTACAGTTTTTTTCGGCTCTTGTTCACAGACCTGACTGTCTTCAACATCAGGAACGTACGTAGATGGAACACCACCGGGCTCTGTGAGAATACAAACGAAGAAAGAGAAAAGAGAGAGAAAAGCCAAGAAAGTGAAGATCAGAGCATTCAATGACCCAGCCGAGCTCTGCAACCCTAACCAATTGTCTATGAAGATGAATACTGTGATGTAATAAACAAAACCCACTAAGAGAAACACTGAGAAAACCGGAATTGAAAGGAACTTTTTGAACTTCATCGATTCTTCTGGTGTGGAGAGGACCAGAAGATTTCGACTTTCGAATGTTAAAAGAGTCGGTGATTCGAACATGGTAACCGAAGTTCGTTTATGGGTGATGGGGTTTGGGCCCTGTGAAGCCCATATATTGCTGAAATCTAGCCTAACCAAGCCCAAACTCCAAGAGATCTGAAATGGAGAAATATATATATATATAACCACAAAACAGAATTTCATTAATCAAACAGAGTACAAATCCTCGTTAAATTACATTCAACTGCCAACCAGGCCAAATATCCCACTGAACATCCTCAGTCTTCCTACCCAATGCATATTTGCCCAACTCATGAGCCACATTGTTACAGGATCTAGGAGCCCAACCAAGTGAAAACCCATGATTGTCACGCAACAACAATTTCACATCTTCTAAGTTACAGACAAGAAGTAATGGTATACATCTTCTACCCTTGAAAAATGAGTAATGGTATAATATGATTAAACATATAAGATTTAAATTTATATACAGTTGCACTCATAGCAATAAATTTTAAGATTTTTAATATTTTTGATACTTTTTCAGAGAAAACTAAAAATTTTATGATCCATATACTGAAAATTTAAGTTCAAATATTATTATTTAATAATATATAAAAATAAATATATATATATTTTTAACTAATTCCGCAGAATTAGGTGAATTACATAGAACTTTACTTGACTTGGTGGTAGTATTTTAGTAAAAGTAACATCCTCGATTAGCTGTGGAAGATTTTTTTACAAAAATAAAAAAATAAAAAATAACAATAGAGTGTAGCGCAAAAGGAGTTTAATACAACTTGTCCCCTTTTTTTTTTGTTTTTTTAACCTTTAGAGATAGATTTGTATTATGCATTAAAGTTATGTTAAGTACTTTAAGCAAAGTCCCCCAATTGTTGCCACTTGCCACTGTGTAAGCACAATTCTTAAATTTTGTGAGTCTGATAATAGGGTTAATTGATACAGAATATTTAATCGGTTAGGAACTCTAAACGATATGGGAGTCAAGAGGTTGGATAGACTATAGGTAGTAAGGAGGAAAACAATTATTATTTCTGATGACCCTGTCCCATGAGATGAAAAAGTTAAGGGAACTAGTCCCCCAATTGAACATTATCATTAACTCTCTTATAAAAGGTCGGATAACTCAAAAAATACGACACAAATCTCTAAGAGAGTTCTTTCACATTCCTTCTATTTTCTTGATCTAGCACTAGTTTAATCGTCAGAAGCTTTTAGGTCGGTACCACATCGGTGATGTGATGACCTTTGTGGGCAGGTGCGAGCAAGCGCGGATTCAAGAATTGTTAATGGGGTGGATTAATATTTTTTTTGGTGCACTAATACTAATAATAAATTATTATTTTTTTGGACGGGGCTAAAATTACCTATAGTAAAAAAATTTTTTTTTTTTTTTGGGGGTGGGCTCACATAGATCCGTCCTTGGGTGCGAGACACTGAATAAGCTATTACTCTAGCAGGCTACAGGTGTCATGATCCCACATCGCCTGGGAAGGTGAAATGTTATACGTAAGGTTCAACACCCTTTTATGACATAATGCATTTTAAAGCCGTGGTAGCCGTGAACCCATTAGAATTCCAAAGTTAAGCGTACTTAATCCAGAGTAATACCAGGATGGGTAAAGTCATCCAGAGTAATACCAGGATAGGTAAAGTCTCTGGTCCGGGGGAGCCAAAAACAGACAATATTGTGTTGGGATAAGGTGGGGGTTGTTACAAATGGTATCAGAGCCAGAGCCCAGCTGGAAGTGTGGCCAATAAAGACGTTGGGCCCCCATGGGGGTGATTGTGACTACCTTTGTGGGTGGGTGTGAGATACTAGACGAGCTACCACACTAGCATATATGTCATGATCTCACATTGTCTGGGGAAGGTGAAGTACTATATGTAACGTTCAATACTCTACGTTTTTTAAAACCGTGATGGCCACGAACTCATCAGAACTCCTAAAGTGAAGTTTGCTTACTCTGGAGTGGTACCAGAATAGGTGATCCCTTAGAAGTCTCTAGTGCAGATGAGTTAAAAGCGAGTAATATTGTGTCTGGATAGGATGAGGGCTATTATAGGTGCCCTCCCGATCACCTTTCTCTTTCTTTTTCAAGTACGTCATCTGGGTCACCGCAAAATCTTGCATCAACACTAATAAATTCAAAAATTATACAATCGTGATTGCACTTGGCATTCCTCTTATGAATTATTAATTCCATATTTATATATGCAAACATGTTGGTAGGTATCACTACTACGAAAAATATAATAGTCATAGGATTTAGGCTGTGCGAAGGCCATATTAGATAAAGAAAAGAAAGGGTAGGCTGATGACTTCAATATATCATTCATCACATATTCACAAGGTACAGCTAAAAGGCTACATTCATGAGTTAGGAAAATACTAAGAAATGTTGTGTTTGGATGGGAGGATTTGTGGAGAAAAAAAAGGATTGGGAAAGATTTGAAGGGATAACTATCCCTTAAAATCTCTTATATTGTATCCATCCAAAAATGAAAAGATTTGGAGGGGAAAAAAAAAAAAAGTGGGTTAATGAAACTTTTATAATGCCAAAATTAGCCTCCAAAATTATAACATTAAACTACCTCCAAAATTATAGATGAAGGGTATGGTAGAAATTTGATTGCTATCATTTCTTTTATTTTCTATCATCTATCTTATCCAAATAAGATTACTAATATTTCTTTTCTCTCCTATCTATCCAAATATAAATGTAAATTATTGTTATTATATCCTTTCCGTTCTTTTTACTCGTAACTAACATTATCATTTCCTTTATTTTCTCTCATTTGTATCTAGAACAATGATGTAGGGTAGTAGGAGTGTTTTTGGTTTGCCAATCAAGCCTGATAATTCTTTTTGTTAGATCATCAATCGGAATTTAGGGTTTGTCAATCAAGTTAACTTCGTTGCTAAAATATTCAATTACCTCAAATTAAGTCAAAGTTGTTCCATTTTTATAGTGATTTGAATAAGAACAACGGTGACAATCAAATAGTGTATCACTAACTATATATAGAAATGTCATGTAAATGGGGATGGCAATGGGCCTGCCGAGGGGGGGGGGGGGGGGGGGGGGGGAGGATCTCATTCCCCATCCCCAGTCAAGTTTTTTACCCCCATCCCCACTCCCATATCTGTTTAATTTTCAATAGGGTTGCAACTCGGCGGACCTAACCCAAAATAACCTAAGCCCAGCTCGAAATTTTGTGGGCTTGGGCAATGTGTTTTAATTTTGGTTTGGGCCTGGGTTATATATTTTGAGTTTGAATTCAATTCAGTCTGGGTTTGGGTTGATATGGATGAAGCCCGAAGTCCAACTTGAGCCCGAAAATATTATATATATTTATAACTATACTTAAATCACAAGAGTGTGGTAGCCAAGTTGGTAGTGTGCTTAAGATTTATGCTAAAGGTTTCATGTTTAAGTCATGAGTACAGCATAAATTGATTTATTTTTTACACACAAATTATTCTGATGTGGGCTCGGGAACTAATCTTATATGGGTTGGGCTTGGGCTGAAGATTTTCTATATGGGCCTAGCTTGAGATGAGTGCCAAGCCCATCTAACCCGCCCGAGTTGCAGCCCTAAATTTCAACCCCCGCCCTACCACATTAGCCCCCGTCCCCGCCCCGCCCAGCATAATAATTTTTAAATTCAGCTTCAGCATATATAATCAACACAGTCATAATATTTTTCAACCTAATAATTTAATAAAGTTTCAGGACAACTATAACAATTTAAAACATGAATTATATATATATATGTGTGTGTGTGTGTGTGTGTGTGTGTATATAATTTAGTAATATTTTATAACATGTAAGGACAATTTTGTAAAATTACAGTATGAACAGGGACGGGGATCCCTGGCCCCGCCCCATCCCGTCCCCCGCTGGGGTTTCAGATTCAATCATCATTCCTTCCCCATTTACATAAACGGGCCACAAATGGGACGGGGCAGGAACCCGCCGAGTATGGAAATTTTTCCTTCCCTACATGTAATGCAAGGAGAATCACAAATTGCTACGGGTGGGTAACATTCCCTTTTTGGTACTTTCTACCCCATCTTCTTCTTCTTCTTCTTCTTCTTCTTCTTCTTCTTCTTTTTTTTTTTTCTTTAAAGTTCATTTGATTAAATAATATGAAAACTAGTACCCAAAAGTGAAAATAAAAGAAAAGTGAATAAAAGAAAATTCAATATGCATTTTATTAGTATGAATTAAAAAAAAAAACAAAACATTCCGTTCCTTTCTTGCTATATATTTTCAAAATGAAACATTATTGTCATAATTTAAGTAAAATTGGATAACGAAAAATTGTTAGGAGCATGTGGAACGTGGTTGAATTGCATTTGTCCAGTAGTGGTGGAGTCAAAAATTTACTTTAGTGAGGTTTCCTTTAATTTAGATTTATATATTTGAGCCGATTCAACTTAAGCCGAATGCATATATGTTATGACGTTATAGAGAAAAATTTCTTAATAATAATATGATAAAACAAAAATAATAATAATAATAATATGGTCAACCCCATTCATGTGGGAAAAAAGGGAAGCATGATGACGAACCAAAATAATAAATGCAAAAATTAAGTATAAATTGATAATATAAAGAGAAAAGTTATGGGTGGCTTTTTGAATATGGAGTTAATAAGATTTTTTTTAGAAATATTGTTGGGTTTCCTTTGAGAATTTAATGATGTTAAGCTGAATGCATATATGTAATGAGATTTTTTTTTGGGGGACATGAGGGTAACAGGATTAAGATGCATGGTTTGAACTGGAAGAAACTGACTGCTCCAAAAGAGGAAGGAGGCATGGGTATTAGAAGAATTATTGATGTGGACAGGGCTGCTAAATGTGTTCTGGCCTGGGATCTTTTACTGTCTAAGGATAGACTTTGGGTTGCATGGTATCAGAATTTGTATTTGAGAAATTGTTCTTATTGGCAGGTGAGAATCAGTGTTTTGACTTCTTTCATTTGGAAGAGTATTATGGCAGTTAGAGAACTTATCAAATCAAACTGTAAATACAAAATTGGAGATGGCGGGAAGATAAATTTTTTTATAGATCCTTGGTGCAATGGGAAAATGATCACAGAGCTTTTTAATCACAGGATTTTAACTCATCTTAGCGGAAGTAAAAAGAGAGTTGTTGGTGATTATATTGCAACAGGTATCTGGGATGGTAGTAAATTTGATTCTATTACTAATGGTATCTTTGAATTTCTCTTGCAGTACCCAATTTTGGGAGGGGAGGATAAATTTGAGTGGTATCCAAAGGAATTTACATTTAAGGGTGCATGGAATGTCTGCAGAACTAGAAGAACTGAGGTTTTTTGGGCTAGTTTGTGTTGGAATGGAGGAATTGCTATAACGGTATTACAGAATGGTGTTCTTACTAATGATTATCTACAAAAAAGAGGGGTTAGCTTAGCTTCTAGATGTACAAAGAGAGGGAAGAGGTAGACCATTTGTTTTGTGGCTGTGAGTTTATATGGCAGGTTTGGATGGAACTTGTTGTTTTGTGCAAATGGTAGTTACATATTTCTCAATCAAAGGGATGGCTGAAGATTTTGTTCAGAAGTTTAAAGTGAACAATACCAGAAATAAAATTTGCAAATTGGTGTTCACAGCTATGCTTTACTTCATTTGGAAGGAGAGAAATGATAGGGTACATAATGACAAATGCTCTAATCCTAAGGAGATTGCCAAGTGCATCATGTGGGAGACACTAGATATTGTAGGACTTTGTTTACATGATGTTATCTTAATGTTTGCATAGCTTTAAGGCTATTTTTCATATGCTTATGCATTTTCTTCCCTGAGGGGATGTCTATAAATAGGGGTATGCCCCTATGAATTTTTGTATTTTATTGTTCATATCTTTATAAAAATTTCCTCCATTTAGGAGGAAAAAAAAAAAGAAGAAAATTTTCTTAATAATAATATGATAAAACAATAATAATAATAATAATATGGTAACTCCATTCATGTGGAAAAAAGGGAAGAATGATGATGAACCAAAGTAATAAATGCAGAAATTAAAGTATAAATTGATAATATAAAGAGAAAAGTTACGGGTGGCTTTTTGAATTTGGAGTTAATAAGATTTTTTTTAGAAATATTGTTGGGTTTCCTTTGAGAATTTAATAAGTTTATAGTGGGTTTTACAAAAAAAAAATTACATATAAAATCAAAATAATATGAAAGATCACTAATGTTTGGTGGTGAAATATGAAGTGCTTAAGATGACCGACACTACTATTATCGTCAAAACGGAAAAGAAAAAAAGAAGGTACCCCGGGACCAAACAATAAACTGGCTAAGAGCTAACAAGAGCAAGAAAAGACTACAATCAAAAGAGGAACCTGGAAAATACCCCACTGCTCAGAAAAATAAGCAGGAAAAGAAAACTACCCTTTCCACCCTAAAAGCAAGGTGGTAAATATATAGCAGCAAAGAACCCCCAGACAGTCAAAGGAGATCAGTATATACTAAGGGCAAGGAACAACCTCAAGGTACAAGAGTTATGAATTCAATATATGACATTTGCTTGTACGTGTGTCAGCTTGTAATTTCATATTTCCGGACCATGAAATAATTTCTCATGTATAATATACATAAATTATGCTATACTCTAAAAGCAAGGTGATAAATATATAGACAGTCAAAGGAGATCAGTGTATACCTTCTCAAGGAACAAACTCTAAGGTACAAGAGTTATGAATTCAAGGTATGAAAAAGGTTGTTTGCAGTTGGATCAATTTAAGAAAGAGTTTAGGAGGCCCCAATTAGTCTTCATGAATATGCAGGTTCAAAACACACACAAAAAACTCAAAAAGTTGAATAAAACCGACACATTTACTTGTCTATCAGCTTGTAGTTTCATATTCCCAGACCATGAAATAATTTCTCGTGTTTAATATACATAAATTATGCTATACTCTAGCTATGCACACACATTTCCTATGATGATGCCCTTTCCAATCAACTCTCAATACATGCCAATAATGCCTTGCTCTAGCTAGCTAGATAATGGATTAATACATAATCTGCAGAAAACAATATATTATACCAAAAATTATAAATTAACAATCTCTGCTTACATTGTCCTTCCTCAAACCATATAGACATTGAATTCAAACAACCAACAATCCAATTTAACCTATATACATACAGCCTGTCATTCACAATATATGAATGTGGTCCCATATATATATATCAATCATCACTCCAAAATTTTTTTTTTTTTTCTGGTTACAGCCATTCAAATGGTTTCATTTGGTTACACAATTATGAGATCTTCAGTAGGACGCATCAAATATCTCATGGTACAAATTGTATTGCATTATATTTACGCCCTTTCACATCGAATCCATGTACAACAGACCAATGATCATTGTCTACATGGGGACCCTTAAACTTTTTATCGCGTGCCTATGTGTATATACCCACTCAAACACCGTCACGAAATATTGCATTATTTTTGCAGTTGCAATGAGGATCATGAAGTGTAAGGGAGAATGTAACCCTAGAGCTTCGGTACGGATTTTGTGAGCTGGTATCAATCAGCCAGGGGGGACCATAAACTCATTGACCCTTAGTTTTGATATAAAAGGTTAAAAAGAAGAAGAAAAACAAAGTTTAAAATTGGTCACTGAGATGCATGTATCACTTTCAGTTAATGACATTCTAGTACAATCAATAAATAAAAGGTACTATAGAGTAAGCCAACTGCAATTATGCCTGGACATTATGACACTGGGGGTCAAGTGTGAGAGAAACAAGCTTGTTTAAGTTTAGTATTTTTATGTAAATTGGAACTTTTTAAATATTTATCTTTTTGTGTCTCTGTGGAATATGCCTTTCCAGAACAAGATGAACCATATTAATTTTATGCTTACTAAACTTGTAGACATTCATAGATTAGTTTGGGTTAATCCAAGTAGGTATTTAGGTATTTAGCAGTTGTTTCTAGTAAGGTAGTTAACAGTCTAGTGTTACTTCCTCACCTACTAGAGTGGAAGGATGAGTCCTTGTAGAGGCAATTAAGTGCGTGTGAGAGAGAGAGAGAGGGAGAGAGAGAGAGAAAGTGTGTTTATTGCCATTTGCCAACGTTAAAGCAAAAAAAAGTGCATTTAGAATCAAGATAAGGATGTTCATAATATGTTAAATGCAACTCAATTCAATGTCACTGAACAAATAATCAATCTGGTGATTAATTGTCAATTTTCATTGGCTTTCACCACTATCCCATCAGAACTTCGCAGTTAAGCATGATTGGGCGAGAGTAGTATTAGGATGGATGACCCTGAGAAGGCCTCGTGTTATACTCCTTTTGAAAGATCTTTTTAAAATAAAAAAAAAAAAAATCATTGGCTTCATATTATCCGCATTGATAAATGCATAAATTTTTTTCTGACAAACACTAGCCATTCTATCTGTCAAAAGGATTCACCCAAGTGCTCCACAACTATAAGAAAAGAAGGAATTTTCTATAATTTGGTAAATTGTCTTTCATAACCTAGGCCCCAATTTTTACTAATAATACTGTAAGCTGCTTTTGATGTTAGATGCCCTATAGTTCTTATGCACGTACTTATATGTTTTTGTCTGTGTGTGTGTGTGTGTGTGAGGGAGAGTAAAAATAATTTTTACCATGAGACTTGAGAAAACAAAATGGCTAGTGTTTAGAGGAGAGATGACTTGCAATAGAATAGATTAATGGATAAAGAAATTTCATGTGGCCACTCAATTCATATGAGATTAAGAAAGGATGACGATGACGATGACGAAGACAACTTGAAAAAACAGAAGTGAAGGCATACCTTCATATTACAGCAGAGAAAAGAGAGAGAAGTACTGGAGAGATTCAATATGGGAGGACTAAAGTGCAAAATATGCCAAATATAACAGAAGTTGCGGGTCTTTTCTAGTTTCAGTGCATGAGTCATTGAGTGTCTTTCATCTCCCAAAGGATTGATTTAGCTACTTCAAACTCATTCCTTTGACCATTTTTTTTTTTAAAAAAAAAAAAAAAAAAAAAAAAAAAAAAAAAAAAAAAAAAAACAGTTATTCCTTTCTCTCTCCATAAAACAATTATTTAATAATAGCATCCTCAATAAGGGACACCACTGTATTATAAATAAACCATTGAATCAGCTCTTTTTTCATCTATGAAACTCTACTTACCTTTACCTTAAAATAAATAAATATCTGAAACTGAGACCAAGGCCAGTTGAAGAAGTTCCATACTCCAATAGCAAAAGGACAATGCAAGAAAAGGTGATCATCTCTGAATCATCATTGTGAAAACAATTATATATGGCATGTAGCAGCAAAAATCAGTCCTTTCCTTTTCAAGTTTGTTTAGAAAGGAACAGAAAATTGTGAAGAGCTAGTTAAATTGTAATGGGCATTCTTTTGTCTACATTGATTCCAAACAAGCTTGTTCCACATCAGATTGCAACTCTTTTCTGACCAAACTCCAGGCTGCCTTGAGAGTAAAATATCTGATGCTGTAGTAGTACCTCCCCATCACTGTATCTTTTCCGACCTTTTTCTAGCTAATTAATGATGCTGCTTGCTAATCTTTATGCTTTCTGTACTCAATTTTGTCTCACTATTAATGCTTGACCTCAGTCTTGTTGATCCCTAGCTCATTATTGGAGCTTGCCTTTAAATTCTCTCTAACTCTATACTGACTTACTTTACAAAAAAAAAAAATTTCCTGATGCCTACACATAAATTCATCTCTAGCTACCTCCCTTCACTAGCCTTCGAAATATACAATAAAATCATAAAAGGAAGGACTCCATGGGGACAATAAAAGAATTTTTTATAAGTCACAAAATCTCTTCTCTCTCTCTCTCTTTTTTAAAGAAAATAAAAAGAATTATTGCAGCATACCTAAATGCATGCATGGTCAATAAGAACATGATTTTTTTTTTTTTTCTTTGGTAAAATTTAAATATTATAAAAAAAAAATAAAAAATAAAAAAACTGTACAAATTGCTGAGGGCCAACAAATAAATAAATAAATAAAAGTAAAAAAAAAAATACACAAATGGAAAAAGAGCTACTGGTGATAACAGCAGACTTGATAAAAGAGCTTGGAAGGTTCCAGGAAGAACCAATGGATCTAGCAGTTTCAAAATCTGGAACCTTGATGGAAACAAGTCTGCACTGAAAATGGACTGGATGAGAGATGAAATAGATCTTAGACTTGAAAATCCTGCTATTTATTTCCTTCTAAATGTCATAAACACAAGCTGCAAGAGTAAGATTGTTGGCTGAAACTTGAGAGAATCAGGAATGAGAGGACCAATTAGATGAACACTTAAACGTGGAAGTTGCATAAGTGCTGATAGAATGGGAGAAAAGACAAAGGAAGAAAATGTGGTCATGGGACTCAGCTACCCTAGATATATATAATATATAACAGATTTGGGGTTCAAATATAAGTACATTAACAAACCCTAGATAAAAGGTGAAAGGGCTTCTAGCTCAATGGTATAATCTCCCCATCCTCAAAGAGGAGGAGAGGAGTTCGATACCAGACGTGGGCAGAAGTGTGATAACACATCAACCTAGAATCTAGCGAGATCCAACTAAAAGATGCGGACACATTCACATATACCTAGCTTATTTGACATCCACCAAAAGAAATTTGATCTTTATAGATTTTTATTCAAACTAAATATTGATTTCCTATTATCACATGGTACAAATAAATGTGTTTCCTCTCCAGATACTTGTGGACCTTAGAGAAAATATTCTTTGCCCTCCCATTCATTTTCCATTGACATTAACAGTTCTTGTCTATATAGCCTTCCCAAATGGCATGGCTTCTGTTTTTCCTTAAAACTTCAATTCCATGGACAAAATAAATGTTAGTGTCCAAATTGTAACCACCAGTTCTTCAGTTCACACATATGGTGTGCCCTTTTGAAGTGTGTTTTTCTGGTGACCTTTATATTTATTATGTGCATTTTTTTTCCAGTAAGTTTTTAGTTAAAGCAAACACACACCCTTTTCTCGATAAGTTTTATGTTCATATTTTTTAAGTTTTTTTTTTTTCTTTTTTTTCCTCGGTAAGTGCATATTTTTTATTTGTTAATCCGGCCCATTCTTTGAAATTACCCTTCTGTATTAGGAATCAGAACTGGGTAATGACCCTTTTTTTTTTTTTTTTTTCTTGCTTGGTGTTTCAAAGTTCAATCTTTTTCCAAAAATTATCTATATGTATACTAGATCATTTTAATCCCTAAGCTTTAATTTAAATTGAAGATTAGATTCACCAATACATTCAGTTTTCTGATTAAACTAAGGAGTGTGTTAAAATGTTTTAACAATATATATAAGGTAGATTCATTACCTTATAAGATCTGCTAAAGTTGATAATCTCAAGTTAAAATATATGCCTATAGATCATTTTGTTTCATTTTGCTTTTATAGTTCTAATATGTTGGTTTATAAGTCTGTGAGTGCCCAGCGAGCATTAGTGTGCTTTATATATCATGCCTCTATATTTTTCACGCATGTTCAAACTAAAATTTGTTAATTTAATTAGAGATTGATTAGTGAAACTTGAAAAGTTGAGAGCTCTAATTTACCATAGAATCACAACAATTAAGGAAAATGCCTAATTGAAAAACACCAAGAGATCGACGTGAGTAATATTTAAAGGCCATTAAAAAACAAAATGAGGGAAAAGTAAGTTGTACAAATCCAGAAGAAGCTATAGGAAAAGATAAACGCACACTCACACAGAATCCCTTATATTTCAAGGAAGAATTGATGCAGAGAAAAGAATAAGAAAAATATTATCCTATTGTTGAATTTCTAATTAGTACCAGTTTATAAAGAAATGAAACGAAAATACTCAAAAATATAAACATAAAACACAATTAATTGAAAAACACAATCACACACAGAAAGAGGGTTGTACTTAAGGAGACAAATTTGCAAGATGCTTCAGGGAGTTGTTCCATCAAGCTGTGAAAATAGGGGAAAAGTATTAAAGCAATCCAACTATTAATTGCAGACCTTTCAAAAAAAAAAAAAAAAATCCAATTATTGCAGTGACAACACACACACACATTAGGACATCATCTTGCAATGATTCTCATGAATTTCCCATAGAATCGCCTAGTTTCAAAATTTGAAAATCCTCAAAACGTACACACAATAAATAAATATAATATAATACATGAATGTCCAAAATAAAAGACTCGATCAGTCAATCTTCGTGAATACAAAGTCAGTCCTAAACTTCTCTGACATATAAGTTCAGATTAGAACAGCATAGAATACTTGACCATACCTATATACACACAGTGACACACACAAAAATATACGCTTATATGTGCATTTTTATATAGCAAACACTCATAAACCAGAATAATACAGAAGTTAGGGCTAGTTTTCCTCACCTTTGTTACCCCTCCATAATCTATGTGAATTAGTTTGCTTTTAACTTCTTCTATTTCCTGCAAATAAACGATATTTATATAAATATATCTCTGCAACGTTCATAGATCCAAGCATATCTCCTGTGAAATTAATTAATTATCCTCTCTAAAAAAAATTAAAAAAAAGGAGATAAAAAATACTTCACCTTTATGTTTAGCTTGAAAGCAAATTAGTATATACCTTGAGGCTTTCTGAGTATAGCCATCGGTTGCCGATGCAGCATCATCAAGATTCTCATCACCTCCAACTCCGGCAGCTCTTAGAAACGCGCTGCCGCGCATTATTTGCATGTGAATCTTGATGATGCCGCAGCTGCAAAAGATGACTCTTGAGCAGTCCATGCATGATATATGTAAGTTGAGTAGGGTTACACTCCACTCATTAGTTAAAATTGAAAAACCAGATATGTTTATAGCCAAAATGAGTAAAGGAGGAAAGTGAAAATGAAAGTAGGATGGACACCTACCAAAAAATAAAAGATATAAAAGTAGGAGTAAGTACTAACACTAGATTTACACACACACACACACATATAATATATATACACTAGATTTACACACACTCACACACACGTATAATATATATACGCGTCTTCCAATTCATGACCACCAGCATGTGCTGACGCGGCACCAGGAAAGGGATCTTAAGGAACCCTAAGACAATATGCAATTCCAAAAGTAAAACCCCAAAAATATATATTTTTTCCTTTCCCCCGAAAATTCACAGTACCCCCAAAAAGAGTTGAACCAAAGAATTGTGAAATTCTTTATAAAAAAAATAAAAAAACTCTCTTTCTCAATAATTCACGGTTTCTGGATTTGTAGGTCAGATTTTCCAATATGAGATCCAAATTCATCATTGAAAAACAACGCTTACGTACCATATATGTATATTCTAGCTAAAAACTTAAAACTTGTAGATGGTGCAAGCTAAAGGAAAATGATTAAACAAGAAACTTCGAAAAATAAGATTTTACAGTCATGGAGTGTCCCTAAACAACATGGATTCAAATTCTAACATCTAAAAACAAATTTAGATACATATGTAATCATCTGTATAAAAGAAATGGCAAAACACAGAAAAACTAATAGAGAGAGCCGGATATATATATCTCACTTCTTGGCAATCTTCTTGGGGAGAGAGAGAGATGTGAGAGTAAGTGAAGGGTGGATTTCTTTGGAGAAGCTTTAGCTCAACACACATAAATACTGATAGATGGAAATTGTGGGTGGTTGGCGCGTGCACTTGAGGTGAGAATATAAAGATACAAAGTTTATTAGATTTACTATTATGCCATTACACCTACCATGCTTTTTCAAATTTTAAATTTTATTTGATTTTTTTTTTTCTTTTCTTGTAAATTACTGTGAGACGGCCTTTGGTTTGTCCAAATCACTCTCACACCCCGATACTATTAATTAAATTAATGTCCATTGCGAAAGTACTAAGATAGCCCCACTTATGTTTTAACAAATAAATACCACAGTTTTGATCATCATCATCATATTTGTTTTAATTAATCTAACATGAATGAAGTCAGTCACGCTTTATTTAATATTTCTTTTATATGTTATTTCACCTATTATATTTTAATTTTTAAAGTCATTTTTAATAATCTCGTCTCTCTTTTTTTTATTTAATTTTAAGCTTATAAAACTACAATATAGTACAGTGGGCTTCAGCATGGACCAAAGAAAAGGCCATTGGCCTAATACAAGAACAAAATCATCCCATTGGCCCAGTGTGTGTGTCTAAACCATCTAAGCCTACTATCTCTAATTTTTTCAACTTTTAAACCTAATTTTTCTTACACTTTCATTAGTAACTCTATCTTTTCTACTCACTCCACTCATCATATTAACGTTCTCATTTTTGTTACATGAATAAGTAGGTATGGCAATTTGCACTGCGGGGATGGGTACCTGCCCCACCCCGTCTCGTTTATAGTAGTTTTGGGGGACCCCCCGAGTGTTTAGGTAGGTAAATTACTAAATTACTCTTATTTTATTAGTATATATAATTAGTTCTAAAAACCCTGGGTCAGATTCACTTATTTTCTCAGTCGTTCTAGAAACCAGTAGGGCCTTACAAACTAAAAACGTTCATACCCTCGAATTTTATGTTAAATTATTAATTGTCCATTTTTGTATGAATTTTTTCAATAGTTTTATAATTGTATTCGTAGAAGAAAAAAAATTAAAAAGGAGGAGAAATTGTGAAACTAAACGAGGTGGGGTGGGTGCACACGGGGGTAGAAAATTTAAACGGGGGCAGGGATGCGGTGGAAAGGCCACCTGTTTATGTAGTTTTAGGTGGGGATGGGGCAGGGGTTTCTAAACGGTTGCGAGGGTGGGTACACCCGCGCCATAAACCGCCCCCGTTGCCATCCCTATGAATACATACTCATTTTCTTTTTAGGGCTAAACCTTTTGCCCCTCCTAACCTCTCTGTATTCATTCTCTTATCCCCTCATTGGTTCTCTCTCTCAGTTGTAACCATCACCTCCATAGCCATAACTAATACCACCCTCTTTCTTTCTCTAACCCTAATTGGAGGGTCATAGTTCCAGGATTAGCTTTGAGGATTCGAGGTTGTGAAATGTTGATATCAAATTCATTGCATTGGGTTGTTGAAACTTTTGTTTAAGGTATTCTTGAACCGATTGGTTGAGTAGTCGAATGCGAGAAATGAGGCCTTTTAATGTGATCACGTGTTGACGAATCTCAATTGAGTGATTGTTCACAGAGATAATAAACGAAGACCGACAACTCGTTCAATGACATAATGGTAAATGTTATTGAAAAGTTAATTTATTTAAAAAGTCTATATCACGGCCAATCGCCATTACCCCCACAAGACCATTGGTTCAGTTTCCTAAAAGCAGTTCTTAAGAAAAGATTGATATTAGAAAACAAACATTCTTTTAAATATTTGTTGAAAATAGTTTTCAAGAAATTAACAATCAATAAATGTTTATAGTATTCTAAGAAAACTAAACCAAACATCCAATTTTCTTATTGTCAATTTTTTTAAAAAAATAAAAATTCTAAAAAGTCTGTTAAAAAAAATTGTTTCAAATATTAGTATTTTATAATTAATTTTATACAAGGGAATGACAAATTTATCATTTTATAATGGGGTCAAGTGTAGAAAATACTCATAAAGTATGCTTACAGTGCATATCACACCCCTTAGTACAAAAAAACATCCCTGACGTTTCAATTTAGTGCAAATATGTTCCTCTGACAAATTTAAACCCCAAGTTGACTAAATTACCCTTACTAAACCATTTTATAGAATATATAATTTTGTAAAATGACCGAAAAGGACACTATTGGAGGATGCCCCTCACGTGCAAAAAACGCACCTAAAGTTTCAATTTGGTACAAATAGGTCCATCTGACAAATTTAAACCCTAAGTTAACTAAATTACCCTTGTTGAACCATTTTATTAAATATAAAAAAATAAATAATTTTGTAAAATGACCAAAAAAGACACTATTGGAGGACGACGGCAATGGACAAGTAAAGATAAAAATGGAAAATAAAAATAAAAGTATAAAAGAAAAGTAACGATAAATAACGAAAATAAAGTGCAAAGTAAATAATCCAAATCTGCTCCAAACAATGTTGAGAATTTTTTCCTTATTTTTATTTTATTTGGTTTAACAATGTTGGTACGAAAAAAAAAATAAAGAAAAAAAAAAGTAGAAAAGAGTAAACTGAAATTTCAAAAAATTCAAATCCTTGTTTTACAAATTCTCAAAGATTAAAAAAAAAAAAAAAAATGAGTTTAGAGACATATATAGAGAAAAAAGTTTCAAAAAAAAAAATATATATATATAAGGTAATGTGCGCATAATACCTCTATATTATGATATTAGCAGCATATATATCCCTTTTGACATTTTCGGAAAAGTAAAATGGTAAAACGGGTATTTTAGCATTAATTTATGTCAAAGGGATATTTTTGCACAATGTAAAAATATTAGTGGTATTTTTTCACACCTTTTCAATTAGGGATAAAAGTGCTAGGCGGAGTATACTTTAGGGATATTTTTTGCAGTTGTCCCTTTTATAATACTTGGTTAACAAGTAAACCGTAAAGAATACGCTAAAGGTGCCGTTGAGCACATGCGCGTCAAAATCTCAGGGGAAGTCAAAATAATAAATGTTACACGGTCTATATGTGTTTAATTTATCTAAATCTAAAGAGAAATTGATGTAATTTAATCTAAGTATATTTATGTTAATGATATTATCTCTTTAATGTCCATTTAACACTATTCGCACTGCAAAGAATTTTCTTTTTATTTTTACTAAACTCTTGCTCTTCGAAATTCTTCTATATCTTTAATTTATGTCAACCAATTTTCTGGGGGAATTGCATGTTATGTGATTGAAATAATAAATTGCAATAAATGGTAGGTCGAGGGAGAAGAGATTTGGTGCTACACCTTAATCACTCTTCATTTTTTTCCTTCTTTTTTTTTTTTTTTTCTTTTTCTTTTTCATCTTATTTGAGTTCAAACCTTTACCTAAATTTAAAGGATATACATGCTGAACTATATATATATATATATATACACACACACATACAGACACACACACACGGACCTACTCTGATGATTGTCATAATTACACAAACCTCCTATATAGTTCTAAATATTATTCTGGCCTCCCCTAAAACTTTTCACAATTATATCCAAATTCTTTCACAAACACGCATTAAGTCATTGGGCATTTTTGGACTTTCGCATCTTGGAGACACAAGTGGCAGAGCAGCAGAAAACTGTGAGGAAAAAGGTCGATGCAAGTTGCAGATTGCTTACGTACTCAACCTGAAAAAAGGGCCACTGTCCGTACAATCTGATGTGGATATTCAGACTTTTTAAAGTGTAATTTTTCTTTACAAAATAAATAAAAACATAATTTAATAATCTAATCAGGACCCATGCAGATATATGCCTTTGTGGTTCACAACGAAAAAAGTTGGTGAAGTCTTAAGCTGTCATGAATTACGGGAAGCAATTAGTACGGGGACATCAATTCTGTGGCACTATATGTAAGTGTGTGTGTGTGTGTGTGTGATGCATATACATATATTTGCATGCACAATCTCAATCATCTTTCAATCTATTTTATGCTTTTTTGATGTGGGACACCTAATTACTATGACCATGCTACATCTCATACACATATATATTTTTTTTCTTTTCAGATATTCATCACAAAAAAAAATAAAAAGATGAATTACAGTCACATTCCTAAAATTTGTTCTCATTACACGTAGTGGTCTGTTAAAATTGAGTCCAATTACACCATCCTCTTCCTTAAAGTTTCACCTGTTAAATTTCTATTAGAAGTGTTAGAATTTTTTAGTATAACGAAAGATTTGCCCCTCTTACCTTTGAAAAGATGTACATGGCCTTCTAAGGCTCACAAAACAATTGTACTCAAGTTTTGTTGACAGTTTTGCCCTTCCTTTTCCCTTCTCCTTGAGGTCTCTCAATCTTCCATGCCTTTCCTCCCCCTCTCTATTCCTTTTCAAATTTCCAAAACCCTAATTTCATTCCTCTAATGGATGTACATGGTATTATGTCCAGAATCAACTCACATTCCATCAACGAGTATATAATATAAACACCTCACAGCCCATGTAAATTTGTGACTCCTTTTGTCTACTACGACAATTGGGTTTGTGGCAAATAGCTAAAAGGCCAAGAGACTTGCACAAATTGAATGAATTTTTTTAAAACAAAATCGAATAATATCATACATCCTAATATTATCATTTTTTGAATGACACTACCAATATGCAACTTGTAAAGTAAGATTTCAAAAAGGGTAAAGAAAAAAAAGTAGGAATCCAAATCATTCTCCGCACAAATCTAACTAGGCACAAAACTTTCATATCACCCATTTATCAAAATGACATCATTCTCTGTATTGTAAATTTAATTACTTTAGAGTTCAGAACGTGAATTTCACCACTTTTATTAGTAAGTAAAAATTAAAGAAATACATCATTTTTAAAAAATTTCTTACACTAATACACCATTTAACGTGGTGAAAATTCAAAAATAAATAAAAGTAAAAGTAGTGGTGAAAACTGTAAAAGTAGTAAGTTACTGTAACGGGTGAGCGCTTACTTATTTATCCAAAAGATCAAGCTATTGAGTAGTGCTGCATATTCATCTATTTATACCTAATTAATTTTTCATCTGAATTCGATATACATTTTCCCCCACCAAAACTCGCAACGCCCTCTTTGCGGCTTGAGCTACCCTGCCTACCCAGGATAGCTCACATAGACGCTTTTTGAGTCGGACGCTTGACGTGGCACCTGATCAAGAATTAGGTCTGATTCTGATACTAACTATAACGGATGAGTGCTTATTTATTTATTTAAAAATTCAAGTTATTTTATAATATTATATACTCACTCATTTATATTTAATCACTTTATCATTTAAATTCAATTAAAGACAAATATCTAAATTCATTTATA